ATCCCTGTGAGTGCTTTACCATTTTCTTTTTCTTTCCCTCCTCCAGGTTCTTCTTTTTCTGATATTTTTGGTGTTTCCGCTTCAATTGCATCTTCTTTATTCTGTTGGATATCGGAGGGTTCATTACTCTCGGAATTATTCTCCAATATGTGATCTTCACCACTTTGAGGTCCAGGGCTGCCAGGTAAAAAAGAGGATTGTTCAGCACCTTCGTTGTGGGACCCAGTTCCCTTACCGTCCTTGTGGCCCATCTTATCTGCTTCCCTTCCTCCATTTGGGCCCAACACGTTCGATCCCCTCTCCTGTCCTCCTGTACCTGGGCCTCCAGACCCCAGTGGTGCTGCTGGTGGTTGAACTGTGACACCATCTCCTTCTAAACCAGCCGCTCCGCTGCGCACTTTCTTATCAATTGATGATTCCCCGGTATCTTGCGATGGGTCTCCACTCAATTCTTGTTCACCTTCCGCAGCTTCAACCGCCTTTATTAATCCCATTCGAGTGGATAACAGCCCGCAGTCCGCCTTTAGAGACACGCCGTCATCTCCACCATTACTCGTGTGCCTCAAACCGTTCCCTCCACCCTCACTGCAGTAATCGTCCATCGCGTGTCCAAAAACCGCACCGCACCACAGCACGCAGAGGGCACACACCAGCAGCACACGGCCAGTCATCATCATCGCCATCACTCCTGTCACTTGCGTGCAGCCTTCAGCACAAACTAACAATACGTCAAAGCAGAGTGGAAACAAAAAGATAGACAAGTCACACAGCCACGGCACAGTCAAAGTAACACATCGCAGCATCCCGGCGCACACACCATGAGGCAAATAAAATCAGTGGAAGGGCAAAAAGCGCAGACACACACACAGCTCCGCAGCAAGTAAACAGCAAGAAAAACACAAAAAAAGTAAAAACAGAACAAGAGCAAACAAACACCAATAAATTTGACACAGCAAAAACAAGAAAGAAAAGAAGCTGTACCGAATGGCTCCAGTGCGCATGCACCTATCCTCAAATGTGTGTCCACATAAACAGTTGTCTCCGTGTTGTGCGTATGAGTGTGTTCGGGATGCGTGACAATTGGCGGATACAGGAAGCAGCAACATGAAGCACACATCAGGGCAGCGGAAGCAAACAAAGCAAAGCACAATCATCATAATTACTCTTACTTCATACATCGGAACACAGCAGACGTACACATGTCCCCGTGGCTGAGTGCTGGCACGCACAGCCCACGCTCCCTTTTAGCCCACAGTGGTGCACGCCAGCGCGTATACGGCGAGCAGCAGCGGGGCACACACCCACGCAGAGCTGCTGAGGCTGCCGTCGAATTCGCGAAGACGTGAAGGTGCGCGGGTGGTCGTCGTCGTAGTTGGCGTCTCCGTAGTCGTAGTAGTTGGTGCCTCTGTTGTAGTGATTTCTGCTTCTGGTTCCTGTGCTTTAGTGTTCGGCGAATTTTGAGTCTGCGCCGTGCTTGGTGTAGTATCGTTCCTCATACTTTGTGTCTGTGCATTATCGGTCGGATGTGGAGATTCTCCCGTACCGGTTGCCTCACCTGTTGACTTTGGCTCTGGGGGCAGTGGAATGGAGACAGCGGGATTCGGTGCGACATTAGCACTCCCGCCACTGCTGGGTCGTGGTGCAGTTTGCGATCCCTCTGGTGGCTCTTCCTTTTCATTGCCGTTTTTTCCCAGGGGGTTATCACCGCCATCTTTTGTGGTGTGGTCGGCTTCGTGGTGCGCTCCGGGTCCTCCTCCTCCACCGCCTTGCGGTGTTGCCTTTGCCGTCTCTGACACCAGTGACTGTCCTGTGACGGTTTGTCCTGAAGCCTGACTGCCCTGGGAGGAACTCCCACCTCCAGCATGCACTCCACCTGCTGCCTGCTGAGATGAGTTGGGGAGTGGGGATGTTGTGCCTGCAGCGGGCCCTCCGCTCAAAGACTCCTGTCCACTTGCATGGGTCTGGGAATCGGACACGTCACCAGCGTCAGAAGGATTGGAAGTGATACTTCGCAGTTGATCGGTACTGGATTGATCCTTCCTCGTCGTAGGAGTGAGTGTTTCAGGGGGCGTGGGCGTAGGAACATCACCCACTTTGCTTCCCCCACCCTCCTCGTCTTCCTCGTTTTCCTCGTTTTCCTCGTCTTCCTGATTGTCATTTTCTTCGGAGTTCACATTCACCTTTCGTTCAGAGCCATCGACCACGGGCTCACTTTCCGCAGCCATCACTGCCCACATGTGTCCAGCAGTCACCGCGCCATCACCAGCAGGCCGCACACGCGCCTCCGTCGCAGCAACTGCCGCACACACGCACAAGAAACAGCACATCAGTGAAGACACCAACAGGACGCAGAGCACACGGCCAGTCATCATCACAAACAGTTTAGCCACTTAACGCTTTGAAGCCAACCTGCAATAGCATGTGAAAACAAAAGGAGAGACACGCCCGCTACACCACGCACAGCCACCGCACAGCAACAAATGGCAGCGCCCAGCAGCAGCAGCAGCCTCACACACCATGAGACACATGGAATCAGTACAATTGGGGAACTTGCACACCGCCCTGCAAACAAGAAAAATAATAAAAAAAACAAAAAGAAGCAATGAAAATTAAACAAAAAAAAAAAAAAGAAAAACCAAATCCAGAGCTCCAGTGCTCATGCATATGAGTACGTCCGGGATGCGTTCAACGTCAAGTATTTGAGGAACAACGCGGAGCACACACCCACGCAGAGCTGCTGAGGCTGCCGTCGATTTCGCGAAGACGTGAAGGTGCGCGGGTGGTCGTCGTGGTTGGCGCCTCTGCATTCATGGCCGTATCATTTGGTGCCTCCGGCGCAGTGGTGGTTGTGGTGGTTGGCGCCTGTGTCGTAGTTGTCGTTGTGGTTGTCGTGGTTGGTGCCTGTTCCTTAACTTGTTTACCAGCTAGCGCCACTTCTTTATTATGCTTCCGATTATTTACATCTGACTTATCGGAATCACCTGTTGATCCTGGTGAAATGATATTTTCTTCTGATGCCCCTTGCTGAGCAGACGCATCTCTTCCACCTTGCGAAGTGGGCGCTCCACTTGGTCCTTCTCCTGTACCTGTCGATGTTGGAGTTGCTGGAGCAGAGACGGTCTTCGATGGTCTCTCTGACGAATCGGACTCCTTATATGAACTCTGTCCAATACCTTCCGTAACTTTTGCTCGTGTATTGCCGGAATCGTTTGAAACCACTGAATCCTGGAGCGTTGGACCTTCTCCAGCTTTATCAATTTTATCTCCACTCCCTGCCGCGCACACGTACGGGCAGCAGCAAAGGGCAAGCACCAACAGGGCGCACAGCAGACGGCATGTCATAATCATCGTGAGTGTGGTCGTTCGGTGGTGTGGAGCTGATCTGCACAGTGAGAGACATGGAGAGCAACAGGGGAGACGAGAGGTGCGGCATACACACACAGAGGGCACACCACACGAGGAGAGGGCAGCAGCCAGGCATGCACCGTACGCCGCACACCACGCACAACACACACTCCAATCCACGGCAGCAGGCACACACACACACAGCCCTGCCGCAACACCAACACACAGATGGAAGAGGGAGAAGCAAACAGGAGCGGCAGACAAGGCTCCACCGCATGCACATACGGCGAGAGCGGTCCGTCGTGTCGGCACCCCTCACGAAGGGTACGCACACACAAAAGAGAAGGTGCAGCACACACATCAACACAAAGGCAAACTAGCAATAAAAAAAGAATAATCTCTGCACACCGCGTGAATTCGTTTTCCACGGAAAGTGCAGCCAATATTCATCGCAAAGCAGCTTGTTATCTTATTTTTGCTGTACGCTGTTGCAATAACGAGTGAGTAGCGCAAGGGCCGTCCGTACAAAAGTGGCAAGCATTCCGTCCGAAAAATGCCGTCGTGCGGGCTGGGGCGCTCCCAAACACTCGCATTACCAATTAACAACGACGGGGGCATTTCTGCAGTGGATGAAACAAAGTCTCTCGTGGTCCTTCTCGAATACCCGCGTTTGTGCTTCCTGTGTGTCTTACCTGCTGGCACCTTCAGTGACGACCTGTGCGCGAGGCGCCTGTTAAGAAGACGCTGGCATCATTGTGGCATCCGCATGGGAGGCCTTCTCCAACTATCGGAACGCCAGGCGGAGCACGTCGGACATGCGCCCTCATATTGTGGACGAACGAGCGCACTCTGCTGCAGGTTGGGCAGGATGACGTCAATCCGTCGCTCGCTGTTCGGCAATGATTTGCGGCGCTCACGTCGGGAAGAGGTTCTGGCGGAGGCAGCGGCGGGCCGGTCTCCTCAGTGAGGGAGGGACGTCACCACCGACACAGAGGGTTACTTGTGATACGAAGGGCACGCGCAGGCCTGTCGAAGAGTGAGCAGGAATCGCACCGTGCCTTTGCGCAGAGCCGCCACTCATGGCACGTTGTCCGGGTCGTGCCAGGAATAGAGTCCTTGCCACACCGACAGGCGCCTGTAATGCGGTGTACGCGCCCTTCCTTTTCTTCTGGGCATCCCTCCAGTACGGCCACCTGACTGCAGCGAGGAAGTCCACGTGCCAGATTGGGCCGCCCTCCTGCGGGAGGGATCGTGCAATCATGGCTTGTTCGTCAGCGGCCTCATTGCGTGGGATACCGCAGTGCGATGGAGAGAATATAAAGCTTACAGAGTGACCTCGCTGTATCAAGGAGAGCAGTGTAATCCAAATCTCTTCGGTAACGTAGTCTTGCATGGCCAGTGGAACGACGCGGAGTGATTCCATCGCCGAGAGGGAGTCCGTTGCCACCAGGATTCGTGTGGGCGATTGGGATGTTTCCAGAGAAAAGGTATGAGATGTCTAATGCCATTTTCAGTGGCGAGGCACTCTGCTCTATATGAGCGTGCGAGCCTGCCAGCTGCTGTACGATGGACCTCCACAGGGAGATCATTTGTCGTGGTGGAGCCATACAATAGTGCAGCGGATCCAGATGCGAGTTCGGCGAGAGATGAAGAAACGTCTGTCAATAATTCAAAATCATAATCTCCTAGAGAGGAGTAAATAGAATCAAAAGCCGTGCGCTTGACATCGTCAGAGGTGTCTTGGGCAAAGCGTGGCTGACTAAATTCCTCTTTATTGCAACTCACAGTGTCCCAGAGGAAAATTCGATGTTGAATAGGAGGAGCACGATTGTGGCTGTGGGGTATCCCAATAATGTTACATACGCGGCGCAATCCATTAATAACAGCATCTCTCGGAGCGGGATCGATGTCGCCGCTTTCCCATGCATGGACGGCGGCATGGCCTCCAATCAGATTGCGCCACGCACGTCCTCAATATAACGGGGAAGTGTGAGGCGTTCGTGCTGTGTGGTGCGCGGAAACCAATGATCCTCCGCAGCGGTGCTGGATTGGCTGCCAGGTGGACAGAAGTATCCTTCTTTGCTGCGCGCGGACCAAGCGATGCCGTGCAGCTGTCGCGGTGCCGCACTTCCAGGCTGTGGAGGTGAGTGGGGGCCGGACACGGTGCGATTGCCTCGTCGCTGTGGTGCAACGCACTGTGGACGCACCCAACCAGAAAGTATCGCGTGGTGTGATGGGACGCACCAGCCTCTGCACCCAGCCGCAGCTGACAGCAGCATGGCACGGTCTGCTTTGCAGCGGTGGAAGCGTGCGTAATCAAAATTAAGGAGTCGATCAATCGCATTGCCGAGCAGACGCACCGGGTGGGACTTGGCGCGTGGGTTCCCATCGCTCAGACGATGGTCGGCCGTGTCCTCGTCGGACTGTCGGTGTGAGGCGATGCAGAACAGAGCAGCACCGCTCCCGTCCGCGCCGATCTTCAGGCTGTGCTCGGCAGCCCATGTCGTTATAGGTGACACGGCAGTTGGCATTGCCGCACCACAGGCACGGATGTCTGCACACAAGGCAACAAGCGTGCGGCCGTCAGCGTGAATGAACGCCGACGCAAAGTGAATGCTGTACAGGCGGCGCAGCAGACCATCCACGTGGTGGAGTAGGAGCTGCGGTCCCACCACGCTGCATTGGGCTGCCCCGGCTGAGGCGAGCCGCTGTCAAAAATATTCTTGGCGAGCACTCACCCAAACGCAGCCGCTCGCAGGTGATTTGCTACCAGCGTTGGGCGCGACGGCCCAGGCGCGGTAGCCCGTCGAGCACGGCCAGCACTCGCCCTTCGTCCGCGGTGTCGATCGCAGTCGAGATGCCGATCGGGACGGCGAGAGAGCGGTGACGGCGACGGTGCAGCGCGGGACGCGGCCACTGCGACGCTCGCACTCGCTCAGCCCTCGTGCCGTTTTTTCACTGACAAGCGTCATCACGTCCGAGGCAGTGCGTCGTGGCGTGGATACAGGCTGACATCGGTGGTGTGCCAGCAGTGCCGACAGGCGGCTGTGGACCAGTCCTTCGCTTACCCCTAGCAGGGGCAGAGAGCAGCGGGATGGGCCGGCAACTCTCTCAGTGCGGCATGCGTCCTTCCCGTGTTCGCGGATGGAAGTGTTTTTCCCCGTTTCCCAGCAACTTCGTAGGCTGCTGTCAGCGAGTGAGGTATTGATCATCGTTCTGTGCAAGCAGCGGGCAGCGGGTACAAGATGGCGCAGAAAAGCACTCAATACGCCGCCGGGGCCAGGGGCCACGCCAGGCAAACAGTCGCGGATGGCCGAGTCAGGTGCACACGGCGTGAAGGGCCAATCCATATCCCAGTCACCAGATGGCACGCAAGCACAAACTGTGCAGAAAACAGTGAGGATCGCAGCACTTGCGACGCGGACAGTGTGACGCACGAGCAGGTTGCCGCTGCAGAGGCAGAGCACAGACGCGGTCCCAAGAGTGCTGCAGCCCAGCCGATCCCAAAGGGCAGGGACGTGGTGCCGCCATGCCTCGGAGCATCACAGGACACCAAGCTGTTTCGCACGGACCTCTGGCAGCACGGAGAAAACACGGCGAAGGGTATGATTGCGGTCCTCCCGTTTGTGGAGCACTTCAGCTCGGGGCAGGCTGCCTCCCGGTAAGAAAGTACGCTCGTTGCATGCTGTCGCCGCAACAGACTTGGCCTGCTCCATTCCGTCCGTCGTGATTCCTGTGGGCCGTCACGGCTGCCGCGCGGGATATGGCGCTCAGCTGCTCGTAAGATGCCTCCGCGGATGCCCGACTATGTGGAGTCGGCGGCAAGGAGTGTTTCGCACAACGAGGTGAAAGCATGCCAACCCGCTTTGCGCAGGGCAGAGGTGGCTTTCTCCCGCCGAGGCAGCGTGTTGGCTATTCGCGGAATGCCATCGTCCATCCCCACCGAGTAAGATATTAAGCAGTGGTCCAAATCCATGTAGAGAGTGGATCGCCAGTGGGTGACACGTAGCACGCGATACGCAGTCACGTCAGGGGACGAGGCATTAGGATGTGTGTTCCGTGTTGCCTGTGTCAGGTCATTTGCCAGCTCAAACTTCATATCAATTAAAACAGCAACGAAGTTCTCTTCTCCAGTCGTTGGTGGTGTCTGACTGTCACGGAGCTCATGATGTCAATTCGGGTCACCCGCGATAATCGCAGCGGGTCCTAAGCGACAAATGGTACTAATAAACGAAGAGCTCTGAACGGTTGCTGTGGGAGGTTTGTGGAGATTCACCACGCAGATGCTGGGGCTGGCCGGTGGAAATACACGGACAGCAATGGTCTCCAGGAGGTCAGTGCCAGGGAGCGGCAGGCGCTCGCACGGCAGAGAGTGGCGCACCAGAATGGCAACGCCACCAACGCGCCCAGTGCGGCCTGAAGAAGGCCATTACAGCCGGAAGCGTTTGTCGCTACGTCACTGCGGTTATTTATTTCCTGGAGAAGAACAATTTCAGTTTAATGCAGCTCCCATCGCGCAGCAAATGCCATCTTTTTTACAAACGAGAGGCCTGCAATTTTAAGCTTCCAAATAGTGATGTAGCCATCCATCCTCGGGCCGGAATTATTGTGGACGTCACCGCCACGGGCGATATCAACGGAATGACCGCAGCGAAACGGTCGTGCAGTTTTGTCCGACAGTCTGCAGGCAGACCGCCTCACCTCCCCGCACCGGGCATGGCGTGGAACCTACTCGAGGGGTGGAGTTGTCTTGGTCTCCGTCGTGCTCGCAGCAACGCCCTGCTGCAGAGTTCCTATACGCAACCAAAGCCCCAGCACCGCGACAAGGTGCGGACCCCATCGCTGGGGCCAGGAGAAGCCGCAGTGCCTCCTGCTCTCATCAGGGATCCTTGTTGACGTCTTGATGCGGACAAGCGTCCATCGGTTCTTACAAACGACGCCGTACACCTGCGGCGCATCCTGCGCTGTGGGAGGCACGACCCTCACCACAACCGGAGTCGTCCACGCGCCGTCGGTACGCACCACATTTTCAATGAAAAGGCAGGGATGCGTCATGGTGACAGCAAAGCATCCGCTGGAAAATCGCAACACAGGCACCATAACAAACAGCACCCGAAGCGCTGCAAGCCACGGGTTAACGTGGAACAACTGACGCATGGCGTATGTCGAAGGAAAAACTTAGTGGCCTCACAAGGACAAAAGAGGCTGACACTTCAAAACAAAAAAAAAAGATACGGAAATATCAAAAGAAGATTAAAGTGTCCGCAGTCAAAGCATGCCACCAATCAAAAAAAAAGTGGAATGAGAGCACCCAACCAAAATAAGACAAAACAATAAAAGAAAAAACAAGAAGCCGAAGCGTGGGACGACCAGCACACACACTCTCATTGCTCCCGTAAAGCAAAACACACACACAGGGAGAGAGAGAGAGAGAGAGATGTCGCCCACTCAATGCAATGAAAACAAAACAGAAACAGTTACGGTGCTCCGCCCATGCAGCCAGGCAGGACGGCAGCGGTGCGTGTCGTGCAAAAGAGAGCACCAACGGGCCTGCATGGGTGTGCATGCATATATACAATGGGTACATTATGTGTGTGCTGCGTGGGATGAGGTGAGGGCGAGAGTCCATGCAAGGGGACACACACAGAGAGTGAGCGAAAGACGAGTGTGTGTGTGGGCGGTGCACGGCTCTCTCTCCCTCACTCTCACGCGGCCACCACCGCAGCCGCACACGCAACAAGAAGAAGAAGCAAAAGAGGGGAGGTGCTGTGGGAGACCGCGGTGCTGCTGTCACTGTCGCCAGTCGTCGCCGTGCCATTTTTCATGGCTGTGGCTTCGACTGGTTTTTCTCTCGGAGGTTGAGCATTATCAGTAGTGTCAGTTCCTGTGGTCGTTTCCTCGTGAAGTGGAGGAATTCTATTTGAAGACGGCGTAGATGCTCCTTCTTGACTGCCAGTTGATGTACTCTGCATTGTATTGGCTGCGGATGCAGGATGTTCGTTAATGCTTTCGGCCGCATCAGGTAAATTCTCTGATGCATCCGTGCTCTTGCTCTTTGTCTCCTCTTTTACTGACGTCAATACTTCGTGGTAAGTTTTTGGTTCTGTCGCTGCTGCTTGTGATGATTTCATTGGAGTCTTTTCACTTTCTTGTAATTTTGTATTTGGATCAGCTGACGATTCGTCTGTTCGGGAAGCTTCTAAACCCCCTTTTACCGTTATTTGTTCTCCCGAAGAGCGTAAACCACCGGCACCCAACGTGGCGACTTCGTTGTCATTCTGACCCGTTGTTGTTGGAGCAGAACTGTTTTGTTCCGGTCCGTTGTTGAGTGTATCTGCTGCCTCTCCGTCGTGTGGCTGGGCGTGTTGACTCTCCTTTGCTTCTGGCACCTTATCTTGTTTTGAAGGCTTCCCAACTGCATTGGGTGAAATACTGACGGTGGACCCTTCGCCACCAATGCGGGATGAAGAATCAACACCAGAAGGAGAAGACCGCGAAGTGAGAATGGCGTCAGGAGCAGCAGGAACAGAAGCACCAGATGGTGGTTTTATTCCTCCTCCTGCTGCTGCTGCTGGCGGTAGTACTACCGGTGGTGGTGTTTCGCGTATCTTCGCTTCTTCCTCCGCTTCTTCATCTTCGT